CCTTTCTGGAACGGTATATGGTATCTGTGATATTCTTGTGATATATATCGTGGATATAGCATCGGATTTTCGTTTATCTTAATTTTTTATTTATTTATTGGTTTATTTTCTTCCTTATTTCACTTTTTGGTTATCAAAACTGAATGAGGAAGTAAAGTTGCTAGCCCCCAGTCATGAGGATATTAAAAAAGACTCCTACCTAGAGCATATACAAACTTGTTTGGGTAAGGGTTTAAGTGCCTTCGGAGCTGTTTTTAACCAGATCTTAAAAATGCCGACAAACAGCATTACGGATTGTGTTGGACCTTTGGCAGATGCTGCGAAGCTCCTTACACATTCTCAATATTTAATATCTCTCCATCGTCGACATGAGCTAGTACCTAGGCTCAATCCTGAAATGAGGAAAATAGCCAAGGTTGGTCCAGTAGATCAAGATCTTTTTGGAATGGATCTTGCCAATAGGTGTAGAACTGCACAGGCTTTAAAGAAATCTAGTTTTGACTTAAAAGCACCGTGTAATTCAAATAAGAAAGGCTTTATATCCTCATTTTTTCTAGTACCAAAGTCTAGTGGAGGAAACAGATTTGTTTTAAATTTGAAACGATTAAATTCTTATATTACAGCTCCACATTTTAAGTTAGATGATTACAGGTCTGTAAAAAGTTTAATTACTTCAGGTTGCTACATGGTCTCTCTAGATTTAAAGGATGCTTACTTTGGAATACCAATCAATAAACAACATCGTAAATTTTTTAAATTTCAATACAAGGGAAAAATGTTTCAATTTAACGTTTTACCTTTTGGTTTATCAGTCGCGCCATATTTATTCACAAAAATTTTAAAACCTGTTACTCAATATTTAAAAGTTAGAAATATTCTTATTCTTAACTACATGGATGATTGTTTATTGTTAGGGAGTACAAAATCAGAATGCAATAATAATCTAAAAATTACAATTGAACTGTTTCTAGAATTGAGTTTCATAATTAATTATAAGAAAAGTACGCTCATTAGAACTCAACAAATAACGTTTTTAGGGTTTATCTTTAACAGTGTTGATATGTCATTGTCTCTAACTCAGGTAAAAATTACCAATACAATAACAATAATTCGGTCAATTTTAAAGTTTCAAACTTGTAAAATATCGATTTACCCTGCAGTTAAATACGGTTACCTCTACACCAAAATCCTCGAACGGAAAAAATATTTAGCTTTAAAAAAAAAAAAAAAGAAGGTGGTTGCTATAATAGACATTTATTAATTGATAACGATATTCGAACTGCAAAAACATGTTTGCAGCAATCTACATATTAAATGATAATTTATTCGGATGCTTCCTTGTCTGGATAGGGAGCTTGTTGTGATGCAGAAAAAATTCATGGTTTTTGGTCAGAAGATGCAAAAAAGTTTAATATCAATCATTTAGAATACTTGCTGCCCATATGGGTCTTTAAAGTTTTGCTAAACATAAAAGATCTTGCTCAATACTTTTAAGAATTGACAACACCACTTCTATCTCTTATATCAATATAACGGGAGGCATAAAGTATCCTAAGCTAGCCTATTTAGCCCGCTGTATATGGCAGTGGTGTGAGACTAGAGATATCCTTATTTTTGCATCCTATATAGAATCAAAAAGTAATTCAGTAGCAGACGCGGAATCACGTTCGCTAACTATTGATACGGAATTCTCGTTAAATCAAGCAGCATATAACCAAATAGTGGAAACATTTGGCAAACCGCAGATTGACTTATTTGCTTCAATATCTAATGCTAAATGTCCAAAAATATGTGTCATGGAAGAAAGACCCCGATGCATTCGCTATAGACGCTTTCCACTTTAAATTGGAGCAATTACAAATTTTATGCTTTTTCCTCCGTTTTCTTTGGTTATGAGAGTACTTAATAAAATAATATTAGATAGAGCAGAAGGAATTGTGGTGGTTCCTCTTTGGGAAGCTCAATGTTGGTATCCAGTTTTCTTTAAAATTTCTTCTAAAACTTTTAAAATTTGGTCATATTGTCAAGAAAACCTATTGCTCTGTTTTGGTGCATCTGATAAAGATGTTATGCAATTTTTGTTAACAGAATATGAAAGGGAAGTAGTTACTCCACTTTAAATACATTCCGATCGGCTATTTCTCTAACAGTGTCAAATATTAAACAATCTGAAGCTCTTAATAGATATCTTAAAGGTATTTTTAAATTGAGGCCTTCATTTCCAAAATATACTAAGACTTGGAATCCCGACAGCGTTCTGGAGTATGTGTCAACATTATATCCGTTGGAAGATCTTACATTAGAGCAATTGTCGCTTAAGTTGGTTACCATAATATCTTTATGTACTGCACATCGAGTTACTGAGAACTATTCTTCTTCTTCTTCTTCACGTGCCATCTCCGCTACGAAGGTTGGCTATCATCATGGCAATTTTGACCCTGGAGGCTGCCGCTCGGAACAACTGTATGGAAGTGCAAGCAAACCACTCCCTGAGGTTTCTCAACCACGACATTCTTCTCCTACCTATGCTGCGCCTACCTTCAATCTTTCCTTGCATAATTAGTTGTAACAGTTTGATATTTATTCCCACGTGTAATATGTCCCAGGTATTGTAGTTTCCTCATTTTAAACACTCAATACGACTCCTTTTGTTTGTTCATCCTGTCTAATACAACATTAATGAGAACTATTAACAGTATTCATATTAATAACATTTCCAACTTCGATGATCGAATTGAAATAATAATTACAGAATTGCTAAAAACTTCAGCACCTAATAAAAATCAACCTAAACTTTGTCTTCCATTTTTCTATAATAAACCAGAACTTTGTGTAGCTTCCACTTCACTACATTATATTTATATCACAAAACCCTTAAGGGGAAATATAACGCGTCTATTTATAACTTACATGAAACCATATCGGGCTGCCTCTACCCAGACCCTCTCAAGATGGATAAAATCTGTTCTGAAGATGAGTGGTATCGATCTAAGTACCTTTACCCCATACAGTACCAGGCATGCGTCATCTTCGGGCAGCGCTAGATGCGGAGTTTCAATCGATACTATAAAAGCTACTGCAGGATGGTCTAAAAATCAGAAATATTTTTTAACTACTATTATAATAGACCAATCGAAACCCCCGCAGAATTGCTAGAAATATTTTTAAGTTATAAGAAATATTTTGTTCATAGAAGTAAGTTTCATTGTTAGGATTAGTTACCTCATTACCTAAGAAGTAAAATATAGTATCTGTTTAATTGTTCATATTGGTTAGCTGCTATATATTAAAGATTAGTACTTAAATTGTATGATTTATTAAAGCCTAGTCGATGATGTAAACTCTCTAAACAACTGCCATTGTGTTCTAGACTGATGGAATGAAGCAAGTATAATTTGAGATTAAACGACTTACCTGTAAGGAAGTTCAATCATAATTATACGAGCTTCATTCCATCAGTCTAGAACAACCCCCCTCCGGAGGTTCATCTTTCCACCCCAATTACATAATCGACTTTCACTAACGCAAGAATGAAGCAGACCGGGTGTGACCGGATGGGATTTGGTTTTATTTTCTTTTAATGGGTGCGTGAGTACAGCAAAGCAGTGATGCCATTGTGTTCTCGACTGATGGAATGAAGCTGTATAATTATGATTGAACTTCCTTATATTTTTTTATTTTTTTTTTTTTTTTTTTGTTTTTTTTTTTTTTTTTTTTTTTTTTTTTTTTATTTTTTTTTTTTTTTTTTTTTTTTTTTTTTTTTTTATATTTTTTTTTTATTTTTTTATTTTTTTTTTTTTTTTTTTTTTTTTTTTTTTTATTTTTTTTTTTTTTTTTTTTTTTTTTTTTTTTTTTTTTTTTTTTTTTTTTTTTTTTTTTTTTTTTTTTTTTTTTTTTATTTTTTTTTTTTTTTTTTTTTTTTTTTTATTTTTTTTTTTTTTTTTTTTTTTTTTTTTTTTTTTTTTTTTTTTTTTTTTTTATTTTTTTTTTTTTTTTTTTATTTTTTTTTAAAAAAAATTGTTCATATTGGTTAGCTGCTATATATTAAAGATTAGTACTTAAATTGTATGATTTATTAAAGCCTAGTCGATGATGTAAACTCTCTAAACAACTGCCATTGTGTTCTAGACTGATGGAATGAAGCGAAGTATAATTTGAGATTAAACGACTTACCTGTAAGGAAGTTCAATCATAATTATACGAGCTTCATTCCATCAGTCTAGAACAACCCACCCCTCCGGAGGTTCATCTTTCCACCCCAATTACATAATCGACTTTCACTAACGCAAGAATGAAGCCAGACCGGGTGTGACCGGATGGGATTTGGTTTTATTTTCTTTTAACTGGTGCGTGAGTCACAGCAAAGCAGTGATGCCATTGTGTTCTAGACTGATGGAATGAAGCTCGTAATAATTATGATTGAACTTCCTTACAGGTAAGTCGTTTAATCTCAAATTATATTTACTCACACAGAAATAATATAGGGGAGGGGCGGGAACAGTGACACACAGGGAACAGTGACACATTTAAAATCCTAGTAGAAAATATGTTAGCAAGTTGGTGATATTGTGGAATTTTACAGTTGGTATAATAAGAATACTACTTGTCTTATAAAAGTTGACAGAATCTGTTGTGTTGGGAGAAATCGCATGTTTGTGTTTTGTTAGTGCAGAAGTATTTTGTCAAGGGTGTTTTTAGTTGTTTACTACGAGGAAACAAACCTGAATTATTGGATTGTGTTCTGGGTCGTAAAAAAGTCGTATAAAATGTAAGTAATAGCAATAAAATTTCTTTAAAATCTTTGTAGATTAACAAAAAATTTACAAATTTTTGTATAAAACAGCATTGTGGGTACAGTGACACGAATATTGATAGGGAACAGTGACACGATGTGTCACTGTACCCTTCTTGTGAATTTCATAAAATCTTGACAGCAAATGAGTGCTGGAAATCATATTAGGGTCTAAGAAGCTTTTGTTAATTATGAATTTACATTACAGATGGTACGTCAGAAGAAAACGGATAAGACAGTGGGTAGATTCAATGAAGATTCTATGAGGGAAGCAGTCAATCTAGTTAATAGTGGTATATCAATTCGTCAAGCTGCTAGAGAGAAAAACTTAAGCTTTTAAACCGTAAGCAGATACGTAAAGAAATACAGAGATGATCCCGAATGGCGAATGGCTCCTAACTATAAAATAAACCAAATATTTTCTTTGGAACTAGAGGAAGCTCTCGTTGATTATATCATAAACGTGTTCAAAAATGTTTTTACAGTTTAACAATTACCGATTGTCGCAAACTTTCATATGACTTAGCGAAAGCAAATAAATTAAAAATTCCAAAAAATTGAGAGGAGGAAAAAAAAAGCTTCAGTCGACTGGTATAAAGGATTTCGCCATAGACATCGTACAATATCCTTAAGAACTCCAGAGGGATGTAGTCTAGCAAGAGCAGCAGGATTCAATAAAGAAAATGTAAACTTATTTTTTAATAAGTTGGAAATAGTTTTGCAGCGACATCCAAAATTTTTCAAATGGATTCAGAATTTACAATTTAGACGAAACCGGAACTTTGACAGTTCAAAACAATTCGACAAAGATTGCTAGCCAAAAAAAGGCACTAGACAAGTGTCTAAAATTCAAAGCTGTGAAAGAGGTACACTTGTTACCACATGCTGCATTGTAAGCGCAAATGGAAGTGCAATCCCACCCGTAATGGTATTTCCGAGAGTCCATTTTAAAAGCCATATGTTGGCAGGAGCGCCATGTGGGACGTTAGGCTTGGCTACGAAAGCAGGATGGATGAACACAGAATGTTTTATTGAAGTTTTAAAACATTTCATTAAACATACTTGTAGTTCAAAAGCTAACCCTTCACTATTAATCATGGACAACCATGAGAGCCATATATCTCTTGAAGCTATCATTCTGTGCAAAGATCGGTCACTGTTTTGACTGTGCCTCCTCATTGCACCCATCGGTTGCAACCATTAGATGTGGGTCTGCTAAAACCGTTTCATATATTTATATACAACGATGCTTTAAGTCGTGGGAAAAAAGCTAATCCGGGCACACCTGTGACAATCTACCATGTAGCATCATTTGTGGGACTCGCTTACCCCAGATCTATGACACCTGTAAATATATCGGCAGCTTTTAAAAAAACTGGAATATTTCCCTTTGACCGTCACGTATTTAATGATGATGATTATTTCGCAAGCCAAGTTACAGAACGACCATTAGTTAATTCACCAAATATTGATCCAAAACCATCTACCTCGACAGGAGGTACCACAGATAACTCTATCAAGAACCAGGACGTAACTCCATTACAGAAATTGTCACCTTCATCCACAAGTGGAAGAAAATTGACATTTGTAAGTCCATCAGCTATTCGTGAATATCCAAAAAAAAGTCTGACAATTTCGGTTAAAACTAGAAGAAAAAAGGCAAGACTATGATTGCTACTGACACTCCAGAGAAAAACGAAATTGAAAGTAATAGAGCCAAAAAAGCGAAAACAGTTAAAAGAAGCATAATCTAAGAAGACATTAAAAACAATGATGATGTTATTGAGTCGGAAGACGAAGATGGTAAAACTTATAGTCTCCATAATTCTGACACGTCAGAGGGAAGTGAAATATTTTCAGATAGCGATGATGAAGACCTATGTGATTTGACATTAGATCCAGCCAAAATTTGCGACATTAAGATCAATGATTTCTTATTAGTGAGACTCAAATATGAAGCCTATTCCAATAAAGAAATCGAAAAACACCATTGGTACGATGGAAGTCAGTTTTTTACGTAAAAATTCAAAAAATGTCACATGCTTTGTGTTTCCATGTGTCACAGACATTGGTGTTATATTCAACAACCAGATTATAAAAATTTTGGACCATCCAAAAATTAGCAGGGGTCGACACTTTTTTCCTAATGTTAAAACGGCTGATTTCATAGAAAACAACAAGCATTTATAATATTTTTCTATAGATCAATAATAAAGATACGTTTTTATTGTTTAATTAGTCCTAAATAATAATACTTACATATTACAGTTGAAAAATGTCTTTGTGTCAGTGTACCCTTCATACCAGGGAACACTGACACAATGCAAAGTTTCAGACTTTTTTTTAAATCTATTTGTTTTCTTAATCTATAGCAATGTAGTCATTCATGATGTAATTGCAACACAATAACACGTCCAAATAGATATTTGCAAGTAAAATCCTATTAATGGTCTAGCGATGACAGAAATTCAAATTTTTCTGTGTCACTGTACCCACCTCTCCCCTACAGTCCACACTAGTTTCTACCATAAGATAATCCAACAAGATGCTAGAGGGATCTGGAATCTGGAAGACAAGATAAACGACAACCTCTATGGAGATGGGTACAAAATCGTCATGAAGCACTTCGATGCCTACCCCCTCTATACCATGCCACTCGCGGACAAGATTGCTCTGGTAATAGCTGTTTCCGTCCGGGGTTGGCATGGGGTGGAGTTCAAGGCCAAGGATGCAGGACGGATTGTTCCCTTCTCCCTAGAGGAATTCGCTGTTGCCAGTGGGGCCCTTAAGGTCGGAAAGGGCCCCAGGTCTTGACCCATGACCTTCTCGGTCAGATTTTTCCAGCTTCTTGGAAACTCTTAAAGTTGGTGTTGATCCCCAAAACTGGAAGCAAACACCGGCCGATTTGCCTTCTTCCGTGCCTCGGAAAGTTGTACGTGAAATTTTTGAGAGCAAGAATCGAAGAGGTCATCTATAGGTCTAGAGGACTGTCCCCCAGACCAATATGGTTTTGTCGCGGGCAAAAGTACGACAGTGTGTGTATTGGCGGTGTTTCGGGCCTTGTAGGGTAGCAACAGCAAGTAGGCTGCTTTGCTTCTCTTCGACGTCAGAAAAGCCTTCAATAGCATAAAGTAGTCCCACGTGATGAGCTCCTTGAGTGGACGGATCTAATTTTTCGGTGAATTTTAGCAGTGAAGAAACTGCTAGCGAACGCCAACGCCAACGCCAAAGTTAAAATAGGAACGAATGTTTCCAAAGGTTTTGTAGTAGACAAAGGACTGAAGCAGGGATGCTGCTTAGCGCCGACACTTTTCAAAATATATCTGGAACAAGCATTAAAACTCTGGAAGCGGAAATGCAGCGGCATGGGTATACAATTAAACAATAACAACCTGTACACTCTATGTTTTGCTGATGATCAAATTGTGATTGCTAACGAATATGACGACCTAGAATACATGACTCGAAAATTAATCGAAGAATACAAAAAATGGGGATTAGAAGTCAACATAGATAAAACAATGTACATGAACATCGGTGGTAAAGAACAAAATCTAGTTTTAAACGACGGACAACACATTAAGTACAACAATAAATATTCCTATTTAGGAGTAGAAATCACAGACGACGGCAAATCAGATCAGGCTATAAAAAAACGAAACACTCAGGGTAGAAGGGCCATATCTCAACTAAATAGTATTATCTGGGATCAACATATATCAAAAAAAAATAAACATCGAATATACAACACTATTATAAAGAGCATAGTAATGTATGGAAGTGACGTGTGGCAGTTAAAGGCAACTACTGAAAGAACACTACAAGCCACGGAGATGGACTACTGGAGACGGGCCGCAGGAAAATCAAAACTCGAAAGAATTAATAACGAACGTATACGAGAGGTTATGGGAGTCACACATACGATTGTCGAAGATATAAGAGTACAACAACTAAAGTGGTATGGACATGTGCAGAGAATGCCAGAACATCGTCTGCTCAAACAGATTATAGATTGGTCACCACATGGAAAGAGAAAAAGAGGCCGACCCAGAAAGAGCTGGAGAGAAGGAATAGACAGAGAGATCCGAGAGAGAGGTTTAGACGAAGATCTTTGGGAAGATAGAGATGCATGGAGATTGGGCATCGGAAGACGTCGGAGGACGTTTTAAACCGATTATATATATATATATATATATATATATATATATATATATATATATATATATATATATATATATATATATATATAGAAACTGAAGAGATGGACCAACCTCACCGAAAAATTAGCAACAGCTGAAGCCAGAAGACCTTTCCTTCTTGAGTGTAGGAGAACTAAGAAAATCCCACGATTCATCATTGACACCACTTCCAACATACTTTTATCTACATTAAGCTCCACAGACAACAGATTATACCGTAGAAGCCAAGCTTTAAATAGACAGGTGAGGGTACGATTACTTAATTTCCATATTTCTAAGGTTCACACAGACATAAAATTTTTAACTTCTCAAATTAATAATGTTACTACGTTTTTGGACAATCACCTACCTGACAATTTGTTGGACACTTTTGAGGCTTCATTACATAAGAAATTTAATTACACATATAATAAATCCATGGCACATCTTAGGAATAAACTTAATAATTTAGATACTCTTGAATTCAAAAAAATTCCATTCAATCCTAAATGGATTAAACATTTATCTAACATTGAGGTTCCTCCTGACATACTCAAGTTGTTATCTTTGGGTCCTAAATTTGGCCTTCAACCAACTTTCAAAGACTACTCGGTTAGTAGAATCTTAGCAGAGGTTGAGAATATTTTGTCACATGCTAACAATTCTGACCTTTTATCTCTTAGGTCTTCTTCCAACAACATCTTGTTGAATTTCACCAAACGCCCTAGGCAACCCTTATCGGAGTTAGATAAGATTTACAGGGAGACGGTATCGTTTTTAAAAACCCACCCTAATCTTCTCATTCTTACGAGCGACAAAGGTAATGCTACTGTCCTCATGGATAGAGATCAATATTTCAGTTTAAGTAAATCACTGTTAGATGATGATAGATACTATCAACCACTTTCTACCAACCCTTGTTCTAAATTCACTAATAAAATAAATAAATTTATAACACACTTACAAAACATAAAGATCATAGATCAACCTCTAGCTAAATACTTACATAATTATGATGGATATGCTCCCAGATTTTATTGTCTACCTAAAATACATAAACTTACACTGAGCATGAGACCTATTGTGTCATCTATTAATTCACCTAATATTAATATCTCTAAATTTCTAACAGACATCTTATCTAAATCATATAATTACAATAACGATTTCAATATTATTGATTCTTTTAACTTTAGTGAATTTATTAATAATTTCAAACTACCACAAGGCTACATTTTAGTAAGTTTTGATGTGGTGTCTCTCTTCACTAACTTAACTTTGTCCAGCGTTATCACCTCCTTGAAAAATCATTGGAATTCTATTAAACCTAACTGCCCTGTTTCTTGGGATGTATTTGCAGAGCTTTTGCAACTAGTTTTCGACACTAATTTCTTGGTCTTTGATGACAAATTTTCTCTTCAAATATTTGGCACACCTATGGGTTCCTCAATCTCTCCCATCTTAGTTAACTATGTACTGGATGATTTGGTATCTGATCATTTAGGTCTTTTGGATTTTCAAATTCCTTTTATTAAGAGGTATGTGGATGATTTATTATTAGCCTTACCATCTGACAAGGTTCAGGGTACCTTATCCTTTTTCAATGAGTTCAATCCTCATTTACAGTTTACTGTTGAACTTGAGGACACTGTCACCAATAGTATTCCCTTTTTAGACATGCGTGTCATTAGAATGGGAGACAACACCCTAACCACAAATTGGTATAGAAAACCAATGGCCTTCAATAGGTTCCTTAATTACCATTCCTGTCTTCCTATGAAATACAAATTAAACCTTATAAAAGCTTTAAGCTGCCGATTAAATAAATTGACAAATCCTATTAATCGAAGGGAATCCCTTAAGTTATTAAGAAATATTCTAATTGATAATTCATATTCTTCTTCTATCCTAAATAAATACCTTTACTCACAAAGTTATGGATCCTCGTTTGATGACATACCCAATGGTGACCAACTTAGAACTATATAAAATAATGCAATTAATAGCATTGTTCTGCCTGATACTGATCTTGAGAATCCTACCACCCATTATTCATCTTTGCCTATTTCCCTCAAGTTACTGAGAAGCTTATTAAACTGTATAAACAGAATAACATACCTGTCAAAATTGCGGTCAAGAATGCTAAGACTGTTAGAACTTTGTTTTCAAAAACTAAAACTTCCTTGTCCACTTTGGAACAAGTTAACACCATTTATCACATACCCTGTGCTGAGTGCGATTTATGTTATATTGGTCAGATTGGGAGATCATTAAAGGGTCGTCTCACTACACATCGTAGTGACATTAATCTATCAAAACACACTTGTGCTCTGGCGCAACACGCGATCAATACCAAACATAAGGTGGATTTTAATGAAGTTAAGATTCTTGGCACTGAACGCAATCTCGTTAAAAGACAGTTTTTGGAAATGTGTTCAATTCTTAAACACCCGAATGCTCTAAATAAGAGAACTGACATAAGTAACTTGAGCCAAATA